TGTTGTTTTTTTGGGGGGGTCTGAGGAACAAGGAAGCACTGTATGTCTTTTGTTTTTTGTTTGTTTTGGTTTTGCAGGCCCCAATGCTCGCCGGGACCCCCCGACGACTCCAGCTTCAAAAAACCAAACAGACACAGTGTTTCTTTGCACCGGGAGCTCCAAACACTGTGTGTGTTTTTTAAGTATGAGGAGCAAGGAAACACTGTGTGTTTTTGGGGGTTTTGACAGCGCCAGTGCTTGCTGGGAGAGAGGCCCCTGCGAGCATTGGGGCTTTCAAAACAAAAAAAGTCATACACAATGTTTCCTTGCTCCTCAGACCCAAAACACCAAAACAACCAAACATACACAGTGTTTGGCGCTCTCGGAGCAAGGAAACACTGTGTATGTGTTTTTTGTTGTTATTGTTGTTGTTTTTTTGGTGTTGCCAGCGCCAGCGCTTGCTGGGAGAGAGGCCCCTGCGAGCATTGGGGCTTTCAATGCCCCCCAAAAAAACGAAAACAATCATGTACAGTGTTCCTTGCTCCTCAGACCCAAAAAGCGATAACAACCAAACAGACACAGTGTTTGGCGCTCTCGGAGCAAGGGAACACTGTGTTTTTTTGTTTTTTTGTTTTTGGGGGGGTTGGGTGTTGCCAGCACCAGTGCTTGCTGGGAGAGAGGCCCCTGCGAGCATTGGGTTTTCATCCCCCCCCCCAAAAAAAAACAAACATAGACAGTATTTCCTTGCTCGTCAGACCCCCCGAAAGAACAAAAAACATACACAGTGTTTGGCGCTCTCGGTTCAAGGAAACACTGTGTATGCTTGTTTTTTTGCTGAAGTCGCAAAGAGGAAGGAGAAGGAGGAGGAGGAGCAAACGATCATTGGATACGGTTATGCTTCTGGCTATGTTGGTTATTATAGTTCTGGTTCTGGTTTCGGTTGTTATGGCGCTGGTTCTGGTTGTGGTTCTGGTTCTGGTTTGTTTTGTGGCTTGTTGGCCTTGAGGGTGCTGGGGGTGGGGGGCGACCATGTGTATATATAAACGTACATGCCCGTCGATCAATCGATCCATCTACCTACCTACCCCTCGATATCTATATATATGTGTATATGTACATGTATGTATATATCTGTATATAAATGTATATATGCATATGATGGTGAGTGGTGGTGGTGGTGGTGATGGTGGTGATGGCGGTGACGGTGATGATGGTGATGGTGGTGGTGACGGTGATGGTGGTGGTGATGGCGGTGATGGTGGTGATGGTGATAATGAGTGTGATGGTGTTGGCGATTATGAGGATGATTTTACAGATCTATCACCCCGTGCGCGAAGCAAATCCCTGGAGCACCCGACGCTTGCGAGCGATAAGCACACACGTGCTCTGTGAGTCAGATGCGCTGGCAGATGCGCTGGCAGAGCCTGGCGCGCCGATCCCCCCGTGCCGCCGCCGCGCCGCATCGACCCGACTCAGGGCTGGCACTTCGCCAAGCATCGGCCGACACAGGCTTGGCAGAGCCAGGGCCTATACCTCCGCTGTTGTCGTTCGGGCCCACCGCTGCGCCCTGCTTGGATCGAAGTGCGCACTTTTTTACGGAAGCATAACCTGCGCGGCCTGCCTGCGTGTTGGACGCCGAGCGCACCGCACCAGCGGCGCTTCCAAACGCTAGTCCGGTGTTCCTCTGGGCGACGGCCAGGCTGAGTTACGCACTTCTGGCCGTTGGAGCGGCCGCAGTGCTGCCGCCAGTCTGCGCGCGCCATTCGCAACCGCTGGGCCTCCGTCCCATGCGGTTTGCCTGGCAAAGCCTGGGCTGCCTCGCCGCCGTGCAGCAGAAACCCAAGTTTGCGCAACTGTTCAGCTACCTTTGTGACATTGTGCCACAAGTGTACGCGCGCACGTGCACATGCGACGTCGCTGTGAAGCGGGGGCCCCCGCCAAAGGCACATGTGTCATGCGGCTCCCGGGCATTGAACAAGACAAACTTGTTTTTCACAACTTGAGTGGCAATTCGATGGGCACCGACATCGTACCGCCACAGGCGCCCACTTGTGAAGCGCCCGATTGCGATCAGCGCCGTCTGGCTCACATTGGGGTCTTCATGCGCACCTGCTTCGGAGGAGTGCGCGACTGCTATGCTGCAGAATGGTAACTTCGGTAAGTGGTGCCGGACGAAGCTTGCCAGCAATTTCATGAGGATTGGGCGGGCACGAGTGTTTGCCGAAACGCACGGGCCCGTCGCCCGATTAATAGCCATCCAGAGGCGCGGCCGGGTGCCAGAGGCTGCCTTCGCTGCGGGCGCTCTAGTGGGCTTGCCTACTGGCCACGCCAGGCCTCGTGGCACGCGCCCGACGTGAGTAGGCATATGGCGTTCTGCATGCCCCAGCTCGGACACCTCCACGTCCGCGCGCCCAGATATCACCAATCGCATTACAACTTACAACTTGCAGGTGCACTTGCACGGCGGGGGCAGAGCCTGCCGCTGGCAGGTCCGAGCGCTGGGCCGGCGCTACAAAGGCGCTGGCCATCGGCGGCGGCGTGCCCCGACAGGATTCACCGAAACAGCCAGCACTGCGGGGGTGCCAGCGATGGTAATGGTAACAATGTCGGTACTAATAGCGATCGTGGTGGTGAGGCGGCAGCGACGCTGACAATGACGCCGCGCTCTGCCAGTGACAGGTAGTGATGATGCCGGTGGTGCTGCTGATGGCGAGGCGGTGGCAGTGGCGGTGGCTGTGGTGGTGGGCAGGATGCTCTGGCCCACGAGTGGCATGATGCGTGCTGCTGCTGCTGGGCAGCTGGTGGTCATCGCGGATGGTGCTGACGACGCAATGGCGGTGGGGATGGTGGTGGACGCGGTGGTGGAGGTGGTGCTGACGGTGGCGATGGTGGCGGGCGTGGTGCTGGCAGTGGCAGTGGTGGCGGTGGTCTCTCGCAGTTGCTGCTGGCGGTGGTGGTGGTGGTCGCTGCTCATGGCGGTAGCGATGGTGGTAGCGGTGGTGGTGGCCAGGGCGCCGCGTCCCCAGCAGTGGCATGGGCGAAGCGATGTGACATGATGCTTTTTTATGAAACAAAAACCTACATGCTGGTGCACCATGGCGCGATGCCAGCACCACTCGGTTGCGGGCCCACTCCTATACCGAACGCCCTAGGCGTCTACAGCGTGCTGGCTCATGCTCTTGCGGCTGCGCACCTGAAGAACAAAAACACCCCCATGGCAGTCCCACTCCCGCTCCCGAGCCCTGCACACCCTACCCCTCGCACTCACCTCCCGCTTCCCGCTGGCAGAGCCTGGCGACTTGCGGCGCGCGTGCCTACCAGGGGAACTGGAGCTGCCGCGGCGTTGGCGACGGAGGCCCCGACTGCAAACGCCTCAACTTCGGCGCCCTTCCTCCGACCAGTATGGCTCCCCCTTTACTGATGCAGGCGATGGGGCCGCTTCCGCGCCCGCAACCGCTGCAACCGATTTCCATTCGGCCTGCATGCATGCCGTAAGCCGGCGAGCCTCGTCCTGAGATGCTTTCTGCATGTGGTCCACTGTGGCGACGATGCCTGCTGCCGCGGCGGCACCGGCAACGTGGCTAGAGCCGGCGTCGGCGGCCTGCCCTGGGGGCTTCACGTCCACTGCCGAAACCGAGACCAGGGCGACCTCCTTGTCGAGGCGGTACGCTAGCTTGCCCTTGAAGTCCGAGTAGACCGCGAGAGTGCTCGTGACTGCCGGGTCGCTCAGGAGGCACTGGGCGTTCTTGGATGTGATATTGAAAACTTGCTGCGGCATCGGGAGCGACGTGTCGACGCCGTCGCAGTCCGTCACTTGGGCGCCGCAAACCAACAGCGACACCCAGTGGGCATCAAGAGTATGAAGGGATCGGTTCGGTTCGGTCCAGTTCTGCAGCCGGTTCGTTTTTGCTTGGCCGGTTCAGTTTTGACACCAGTTCGATTTCGGCTGGCTCGGTTTGGGTCTGGTTCCGGTTCGGTTCGGTTCGGTCCCACCGGTTCGGTCCCACCGGTTCGGTCCCACCGGTTCGGTTCGGTCCCGCCCTCGGTTCGGCCCCGCCCTCGGTTCGGCCCCGCAGGTACGGTTCGGTTCGATTGACGGTTTGTTTCGATTCGGCCCGACTGGTCCGGTTCGGTGCGATTAGTGACGTTGGCCGCCCCGTCTGCGTAAGCGACGGCCCAGGAACAGGAGGGGGGGGGGGAAGAGGAAGAGGAAGAAGAAGAGGAACAGGGGGGGGGAGCATGGAGGAATGAACGAGGACCAGGGCCGCGGCCCCGCGAGGTTCGGCTCCCAGGGGTTCGGGAGCGTTTTGTTGACGCTTTGGGCTTTCGTGGCCACGTCTGGATCCGCCTCGAAATGAGAGGGCCGCCACCGTCGACGACGACGACGACGGGCGGGGCGCCCCAAAGGTGGCCCCTTGGGGGGCCGCGACGAGCCCGCCGAAGGGGAGCCGCGACGGCGGGGGTCGCCACTGGGGAGAGGGCTGGTGGACTGCTGGTGGGGCGGTTCCGGCGGGAACCCGGGCACCCCGGCGGCGGCCCCCTGCCGTCGCGCCCTCCCGCGGTCCGCCGCGGACCCCCATCCCCCGTGTGTGTGTGTGTGTGTGTCTGTGTGTGTGTGTCTGTGTGTGCGTGTGTGCGTGTGTCTGTGTGTGTGCATGTGCGCGTGCGTGCGTGCGTGCGTGCGTGCGTGCGTGTGTGTGTGTGTGTGTGTGTTTGTGTGTGTGTGTTTGTGCGTGTGTGTGTGTGTGGTTGTGTGTGTTTGTGTTTGTGTGTGGTGTGTGCCTCTGTGTGTGTGTGTGTGCACGTGTGGCGTGTTTTTGCTGTCTCTGGCCCGCGCCTAGCGTTGTCACTGATCCCGCGGTCCAAATAAAGAGGTCACTGTTCGCTTGGGTTTGATTTGTGGGCTCGAGCGCTGTCGCGGCACGTGCTGATGCAACGTATACCTGCGTTGCCCGCTAGCGCGCTAGCGCACGCATCCGTCGCATCGTCCGCTTCACCCGCCGCGCTCTGGGTGCGGAGAGGCGCGGCGCGCCCATCGAGTGGCGGCTCGGCGTCGTCAAGGCGGCTACGCCGCGGGGAGGAGCAGGAGACGCGGAGGAAGAACAGCGCAGTGAAGGCGTTGAAATGCGAGCTACGTCGCGCTCAGGAGGCGCTTTGGTTTTCGGGCCGTGAGACCGATCTTCCTGAACCTCGGGAGGCGGTGGACACGGATATACTCGGGACCCTTAGGACCCAGATTTTTGGTTGTCCTCAAGGTTTGGTAGTCGCAAGACGAATATTGTACACGCAGAGCAGCGCTCTGGCTAGGTAGAACGACGGCGACGGCGACGGCGATGACGGCAGCAACGGGGAGGAGGTGGCAAGAGGGGTCCAGTCAAGACGCTGAAGTCATGACAACTGTGGGTTCAGGAGGGGCTCTGGATTTGGAACCGTTTCTTAGTTCGTGGCTCGCCATGGCCAGAAAAAGCCCCCTCGTTCCTTGTTTGGCGTTCCCCACGGCGGCACGACAACTGCAGAGTGTGGAGAGGCCGTAGGGAGAGGGGGTGAAGATGCCTCTGGAATAGTGATGGTGCTAGTGAACTATCGACGATGCAAGCATGACGCTGCTACTTGGCTCATTTTCTTGCCCTTGCAGCCAGCATCTGGCGACACAAGGTACGCGAAGAACAGGGTCCACCCACTTGAATGAGGAGGAGCAGGATGATGATGGTGATGATGATGATGATAGTGATGATACTGATGATGCGAATGATGATGGTGATGATGATGGTGATGCTGCTGATGATGATGATGGTGATGATGATGGTGATGACGATGACGATGATGACGATGATGACGATGATGACGATGGTGATGGTGATAATAAATGATGATAGCGATGATGATAATGATGAAGACGATGATGACTATGATGCTGATAAGTGTGATTATGATGATGATGATGCTGGTGATGGTGGTGGTGATACTGATGATGATGCTGATGATGATACTGATGCTGATGCTGATGATCTTGATACTGCTGATGATGATGGCGATGGCGATGGCGATGACGATGACGATGACGATGATGATGATGATGATGATGATGATGATGATGATGATGATGATGATGATGATGATGATGATGATGATGATAATGATGATGATGATGATGATGATGATGATGATGATGATGATGATGATGATCATGATGATCATGATGATGGCGATGACGATGACGATGACGATGACGATGCTGATGATGATGATGCTGCTGCTGATGATGATGCTGATGCTGATGCTGATGCTGATGCTGATGCTGATAATGATGAGGAGGATGAGGAATGAGGAATGAGGAGGAGGAGGAGGAGAGGAGGAGGAGGAGGAGAGGAGGAGGAGGACGAGGAGGAGGAGGACGAGGAGGAGGAGGAGGAGGAGGAGGAGGAGGAGCGGGGAGGCGGCGCCAAGGTGAGCTACAACGGCAGCTTCATGGCGGCCCCTCTGCGGGAGGGCGGGGGTGCGGCTGGGTTGCTTGGAGCCTCTGCGGCGTGCTCGGGTCCCGCGCGCGGAGAAGGAGGCGCTCAGAGGGGGAGGAGGAGGAGGAGGAGGAGGAGGAGGAGGAGGAGGAGGAGGAGGAGGAGGAGGAGGAGGAGGACACCCAGCCGACGACGACGAGGAGGAGAAGGGGGAGGCCCCAGCAAGTTCAGGATCTCGACCCAGCGACCGCTGACGGACCCGTGGCGGAGGCCGAGCACGCCGCCACCAACAGCAGCGACAACAGCGCCAACCGAAGGTCGGGGGCTGCTACAAGGCTGCGCCGTTAATACGTAGCCGTACCGATCAAGGCACCGGCTCCTCAGAACGCCGCCGCGCCGCAGTTGACAACAGCCAAGCCAGACGTGTATGAGATGACCGACGACAGGAACCTTGGACAGGACGGCAGTCGTCCCAACCCAAATGCTTTACCATAGCAGGCGGTGCCTTCGAAACCTTTGCCAAAGACGACACCATCCACCCGTGACGGGACTGTCGCAGCCAGCAGCAGCACCACATTCCCAGCACAGTTGCCTTACGCACCCAGGGCTTGCCAAGGCCGCCGCCAAGACATCGACCGTGCCGCACATGGACACTGTCTACGAGGAGGCCACTGCACCACTCCTGGGTATGAGATTGGGCTCCTCTGGAGTAAACTTACAGCAGGACGCTATCGCGCGCTTGATCGACAACATCAGCAGCATCCATTACGAGAGGACAACGCCGCAGTTCAATAGACATGTTCACATGATAATTGCGGAAGCCATCACGGGCATCAACGACGCCGATTCCAGCAACGATTGGGCCACCGACCCCTACCGCATCCACAGAGCTGGGCACGACCAGTTGATGACCTACGTTGTCGCTTCATCAACCACTTCATGGGCAACGAAGCAGCTACACTGGCTCACAAATTCGAGATGCCCCACCAGCAGATCGTCCCAGGCCACATCATCAGACATCAGCTCGCCACGATGGTCTCTTTCCAGATATGCGACGACTGCACGGACATGCCAACGCCCCAGCAAGCCGCCATCGAGAGATCCGCCATTCTCACGTACATCAAGCTGGGAACACGACGCGACCACATGTCCACACCAGCACGTTTCGCCATCTTTGTCCTTCAGAGGGGGGTCAATCGCACCGTCGAGAAGATCAACGACCTGATCGACGCCCAAATAGCTGTGCCATTGATCGAAACGAAACTAGTGGGCAACCGCCAATCCACGACCGCGGCGGTAAAGACGATCTACCTGACGAACGAGATGCCAGAGGCGAAAGCCAGACGCCAGCAAAACCAAGCACCCGCTTCCAGAGCGACCGCACGACAGACCATAACTCGACTGCCAGCAAGAACAGTCGCGACACACTGCCCATCACCGACACCTTCAGCAGGGGCCTGCTAGCTCTCCGCCGACACGCGAGAGGCCGGCCAGCGAATCGGACGCCTGATCGAGGAAAAGTGCAACTGGACGGAAGCCGTGACCGAGCCTATACAGCGGAAGCCAGCCCCAACACGCATCATGATTACAAACGGCGGTACCCAGATGCCCGACAACGGCATCTACAACACGAGGTACCCAGCGCTCCGATCCGACACGGAAGCGCTCTTCGACGAGAATGAAGACGAGTATTGAAGAAAACAGTCGTCGGCACTCAGGACGCCCACATCGGACAGAATCTCCATCCCAACCGACGGGAGGCGAGGATACCGCCAGCGAGGCTGAGCCGCCGTCACGATGGCCAGCGTCCGCTGGAGTCTACCAGCCCGCCTAGCCGACTACCTCTGGTGAGTCAGGAGTCCCTGACCACCCGCAACCACACGAGGCGCACGCCTCAAGATGGGACCTGCCTGACGGAGGCCCGTCAGTGCGTCACCTGCCTTCTCCAGTTTTGCTCCCGCATAGCGGCAGCAGATGCTCCACAGGGGCGACCAGCTGCTCTCATCCACGTTCTACTCTCTGCGCTACCCTTCTACCAAACATCCGCACCCACTTGATTTACAGCAGCAGCAATCGATGGCTCGCACCGACCACTCTCTCCTCGGCGACATTTCGCGTCATGGTGCGCGCACAGCGACGGCAACAGCGGCGGCTATGACACGTCCAAATTTGCAGTTCTGCGATCAGCAACTGAGAGGCCACCTCCACCAAACCTTCACTCCCTCCTGGCCCCCTTCTCGTCGATACGCCCATCCCGCCATTCGCGCCACTAACCTCCCCCTTATCTACTCTTGTGGCGGTGGGATGGGGGGCTTATGTTATGAATGAATGGAGGGAAGGGACAGGGAACGAAGCCTTCGGCAGACATGGCAACTGCCACTCTGCAGCTTCGTATCAACACACCAAGATTCCAGTTGTGCTTCTGTCCAGCCAGCAGCGCTCTTGCCCACAATTCCCCTCCTCTTATTATGTCTTACTGTCCTACCAGGGCGTGCCACTGACCTTGGGGACGAGGAGTAGGATCTCAGGGGCATGGAAAAGAAGCCGCCGTCGGCCGCCCTGGCGTTGGCCAGGGCCGCCGTGGCCAGCAGCAGGACCTGCGCAACCTACGCATCCAGTGCTAACTCGCGCACCTCTCTCTTGCATTACATGCCGCCGTCAGCTTACACAGAGGCCACCAGTGCTGGTGCAGTCCTCCAACAGGCGACCTAATTACCACCCATTGCCCCTCCTCCGTGTAACCTTGTTGCGCCTGCCAGCTTGCTGATCTTTCCGAACCAGCTTCATGCCGCCGCTCGAAACGCGCGTGAGCTGTCTGCCAGGCCCCTCACTGACGCCACATTCTTCCTCACCGATCCGCATGCTGAATTTGCTCTCAGCGGGGGCGCCCTGACGATGATTTTGACTACGCTGGGCTGTAGTCTGAGCACGCAACGGCCATGGACAGAGCAACCGGCAAGACAGGAAGAAAGGGACGTGGGGAGGGGAAGGGGAGCAGGGAACAAGAGAGACATGGATGGTGTGAGCACAATAGAATTGCACATGCACGCAAATTCGGCCCAGGCTACTTTCGCGATATATTCCTATCTTAAGTATCTCACACCAGGGATGGCCAACACCCACCCCCCAATAGAATCTGGCGGCCCCAAAGGCCCCAGAGGCTCTTCTCTGGCCCGTCCCTGACGGCCCCGAAAAGGCTCCAGGAGAAAACCGGGCACAGTCCACGACGGCCCCGAAACGCCCAAATTTCCTTCCCAGGCGCCCAATATGCCCCCAAGACAGCCCAAGAGGCCTCCAAGACGCCTCAAGAGGCGGCCAATCAGTTTCCTAAGAGGGCCCCAAGAGGCCCAAATCATTGACTTTCCATGGGACAAGGTATATTTTCAGCATGCACGACTTTTCTCCCGTTACGGCGTCGAAGACGGTCCAAGATGCTCCCAAAACCGCCCCAAGACGGGCCAAGAGGCTTCAAAGAGGCTTCCCAAAACGGCCCAAGAGGGCGCCAAGACGGCCCGAGAGGCGCCCAAGACGGCCCAAGAGCCCCAAGACAACCCCTACAGGCCCTAAGAGGGCCTCAGGAGGACCCCAGGGAGCCACCAAGAGAGCCCCAAGACGAGTCAAGGCCTCCAAGACGCCCCGAGACGGCCCAAAAGCGCCCCAAGACGGCCCAAAAGGGTCCCACATAGGCCAAAGAACCCCAAAATATTCCGAAAACAATTAACGGAGCCCAGAGACGCCAAAGAAAAGAACGATCGGTAGCCCCCAAATCAACCCGAAAAGGAGCACTAAGAAGGCCCATAGACGCCAAAGAAAAGAGCGATCGGTAACGTACAAACTCTTCACACCAGGGCTCCCAAGAGCGAGCGGTGACATAACAAACTCTGACAACTAAAGCTCCCAATAGCGAGCGGCAACGTCACTATCTCTGACAACCACGGCTCCCAAGAGCGAGCGGTGACGTAACCAGCCCTTCACACCCAGGCTCCCAAGAGCGACAAGTGCCATGAACCATCTCGGGCACACCCCCCAAAAGCCGCTCTTTCCGTTTCCGTGCCGGTCCAGGACATCCATGAGGCTTCATACCCACGACCCAGACACGGTGGCCCGCTGGGCCGAACGCCATTCGATCGAATATGGATGGCCTTTTGGGTCCAACATTCCTCCTTGGAATTCCGATCCGCGTCACCATCGCTGATGGCGCCAGCCTCCGTTTCCGTGGCGAGCGCAAGACGCACGGCCTCACCGCTTTGTGGAAAGACGCCATCGCCGTGCACGGCTTGCCCGAGGCCCCCCTGGCGTCCAAGTTGCGCAGTGCGGCTTCACCAGGGCGTTCAGCAAGGGCAACCCGAATCCTAGCTGGGCCCACGTCCACGTGGCGCTCGGACAGTCCACCCGCGCCACGGCGAACGCTCTCAAGCACGTGCTCCAGACCACCGCAGACACGCTCCTGAACAGCTACCTGGAGGCCGACTTCACCGTTCCACCGACAGACAAGGACAACGGCTTCCAGGTCTCCAGCGTCCAGCAGCAGAACCGCGCCCAGCTCGCTCGGTCGTTCAAGATGCTCGACGGCACCGATCGCACGGCGAAGGAATTGCACAATTTCTGCCTCGCCGTCGCCAAAAACATCCCCGAGAAGAGCCTCGCGCCATTGCGCAGCCTGCAGAAGAAGCACCCGCAGTACATCGCGTGGTCAACGTGCGACCCGAACACGCCAACGGTGGATGCCGCACCATCTGCCTTGACCACATCGTCGCCAGCGGCAACCACGACGATGACGAAGCGCCCGGCGGGCGCCACCACCGGGGCCGCCGTCGCGAAGAAGCCGGCCAAGAGCGCTAAGACCTGACGCGCGGCTTGAGGGACGCCGCGCCCGCGCGCGTCCGCTGGCCCCCGCTGCGCTTTCACCTTCTTGCACCTCTTGCCGATGCGCAGTCAGCGCGACAACCCGCCCCCTCTTTTCCCTCCCAATAGGATGGCCTCTTCGGCGCGACCGCGCCATCATCATTTCGTCGC